TTGGGCTGGCTGGAGTTGTGGAGATCAAACCACAGCAACCTGAGGCTGACTGCTTTGTTGAAGCAGTCACTTAAACAACTGAGCTAAAAGGCAGGCCCCTTTAAATGTTTTTAAAACTTATTTGGTCCAGGATCTCACTATGCAGCTCTGACTCCTGTGATCCTCCTGTCTCAGCCTCCCCCAGCGCTAGAATTACAGAGGAGCACCACTATGATGGCACAGCATGTGGTATTGGGGATGGAACCTGGGTCCCTGCACCTGCCTAGGCAGGTGCTTAGACCGCTGAGCTATCTCTGCCACCTGATTGATCTTTTTGAGACAGGATTTCACTATGCAATTCAGGATGGCCTTGAGCTCACTTTGTAGCCCAGGCCGGTCTGGAACTTGCAACAATCCTCCTGCTCTGCCTCCCTAGTGCTGATGCTCCTTTTTAAAGGAGCTTGTACAGTATGTATTAGTTGGTGGCTGGATAAGCCTCCTGGGCCCTTCCACTACTACACTGTACTTCTAAACCTCTCCCTTTAGAGGGAACAAGGCACTTCTGTTTGGTTCATGGTATGATTAGAAGCTGCAATTGCATATTTTCACGTACCAGCCAACTGTAACTTCAGTAAATCCTCATAACTTGCCTTTCCCCTAAAGTTAAAGATGCTTGGCTTACCCTCCAGTCATGACTTTAACTTTCAGAAAACCTTCACTGGTGCTTCCTGTGCCTCTTAACTTTTCAGCAGTTTGCTCAGTATTCACACCAATACAGGAACCATTTCTGAAATTCGTTGTTTTGTTGGGGTTGAGACAGGGCCTTGTTACGAGCCCCAGTCAGCCTCCAATTTGTGGTAATCCTGCCTCTGCCTCCCAAGTGCTGAGATATCAGGTGTGTGCCACCATGCCTGGCTGTTGGCATTTTTTTTCTACATGGAATCAAACTCAGGACCTTGTACTTGCCAGGCAGGTGCTGTGCAGCTGCACTACATCCCCAGCCCTCTCACATCTTTTAATGCTGCAGTACTCACTATCTTTGCCATTGACAGCACGTGCTCGGTAGGTAAAAATACTGAATGCCATGTGCATGTGACCTTGTAGAGGACTGCACTGTGTGTCCACTTGAGCACCTGAGTTGTAACGCTGTCGCTGACATAGGGTCTTTCGGATGCCACGTGTTCCTTCTGTACACTAACAGAACTAACTATCAGGGGCATCTTCAGTCCTGTACATCAGCCTGAGGCTTGCCTTTTCCTTGGAATATACTCAGATACAGCATCAGCACTCATCTACAGAAAGCATGCAGGGCTGGAGAGATGGCTCAGTGGTCTAAGGCACCTACTTGGAACAAGCTTGATAAAGCACAGGGACCGCGGTTCGATTCCCCCAGCACCACATGCCAGCCAGCTGCGCCCCCTGGTGGGCTGAGCTGGCCACACACACACACACACACACACACCCAAAATAAATGTTAATAAATAAATTTAAAAAAAAAAAGAAAGCATGCAATCACTCAGGTTTTGATTTTCTCTATTTCTCCTGCTAAGTGGCAGCACTGTGGGGTGAGGGGCAGATACAGACAGAGCAGCCAGGAGGGACAGCATTACAAACCCCAGGCAAGAGACAAAGACTTCTGCTGTGTGGAGGGGGTGCAGAGGAGTAACTACAGAAGTTTCAAACTAAGAACCAATAGGATAGGATGATGGACCCACTAAATACAGGATAAAAGGAATAAACCTGAGGTCAAGGGTAGTTCGTACAGGAACAAAATTTGGGTACATGAAAATGTTAGTCCAGGAAGTAATGAAGAGGTGCAGACTCAGGGATTCAAAGTGAGTTTATTTTACTTTTTTTTTTTCTTTTTCAGACAGTCTCACTTTGTAGCCCAAGCTAGCCTCAAACTCAAGGAGATCCCCTGCCTCAGCCTCCCAAATGTTGCGACTATACATGTGCACCCCCACACCTGGCTGTGACTTAATTGTAGACATGCTGCATTTGTGGAATGACCAGGTAGAAAATCTGCATGTGAAGCTCAGGAGGGAGGAAGAAGCTTGAGGTCCAGAAATGGATGAGACAACCCAGGGACTACAGGAGAACAAAAATGAAGACCCCAGGATCTAAATAAGAGACTCGGAAGGAAAGTGTAATCATCAGTGAGATCAAGTTAGGAAAGGCCTGAAAAAGAGATCACTAATGTATGTGACTTGTTTTTTTTCCTTTATCTTTTTTTGGCGGAACCGAGGATTGAACTCAGGCCCTTGAGCTTGCCAGGGAAGTGCTTATTCTACTGATCTATCTCCCTGGCCCCTCCTTTCTCTTTTTAAGACATGGTCTCACTATGCAGTTCAGGCTGGCCTTGGGTTCACTGTGTAGCCCAGGCTAGTCTTGAACTCACAGCAATCCTCCTGCCTCAGCCTCTTGAGTGCTGGGATTACAAGTGTGTGCCACCACATCCTGCTAATGTATGCAATTTTTGAAAGACTAAAGAAAGAAGGGCCGGGGAGATAGCTCATTGGCTTAAGCACCTGCCTGGCAAACACAAGGTCTTGAGTTTGATCCCTGGTACCAAAATAATAAATAAATAAATAAATAAATAAATAAATAAAGCAAGAAAGAGCCAGCTGGTGCACAGCTGGAATCCCACCATCTGGGTAACTGAGGCAAGAGGTTTCCAAGTTCAAGCCTAGCCTGGGCAACTTAGCAAGACTCTATTTCAAAATAAAAAATAAAAAGGGGCTAGGGATGTAGCTCAGAGTAAAGGTCCTAGGTTCAATCCTTCATACTGGGAAAAACAAACAAACAAACAAAAAAAAACTGTCTGCTAACCATCCAATCCACCCTCTTTATTTTAGGATTGAGAAAACTCTGGTACACAGCTGTGAGTGACATACAAGGAAGAATGGATTCTTGTGCTGTGGATGACCGCTGAGAAGTTAACAATGTGCAATGTATTAATTATTGAAAATGTCCTATTAATCAGCTTGGAAAATGTCTCATTGATATTTGTTTCTCAGTAAAATAAATTAAAAAAAAAAAAAAAAAAAAGGAAGAATGGAGTAGGCCCAGAGCTCTGGGAGTTAGCATTTGAGGCCCAAGGTCAGCCCCACTGTGTACTATCACTAGCAGAGGCAGTAGCACAGGTCCAGAACTAGAATGCTTTATTTACAGAGGCTTTATTTACAGTGATATTTGGATA